ACTTGTTATTGCCACTTGAAAACAAAAAAACAAACCAAGTAAAATTGAATTTTCTTTGAATTAAGTCAAAACAATTCTTGGAAAATTTCAAATAATTCTCAATTCAAAGAACAACAATCTTTCTTTTAATACACGCTGGAATCCTTTTAAAAATTGAAATTTCTTAAAATGAACAAACAACTTTTTATTAAAATGCCCCGCAAAATATGTCAAAAGTTTTTTATTTGAAAATTTTCATTGAAATAATTATACCAATTTTTTGAAATGCAAGTTTCATATTTTCACAAAATAAATCTGCAATTTCTAATAGGCATAAAAATATACATACATTCAGCTGTGTATTTTTACAACTCCAAATTTTCCAAATTTCCTAAATGGCAATAATTATTAAGCAATATGACCATTTATTTTAATTGGTGAAATTTGTGATTAAGATAATCATAATAGTCTTACCGACAATAACGTACCTACTATCAAAACACCAAAATTTAAGATATGGAGAAATTAGGTAATTTTGACAGAAATTTGCTAATTTCTTCTTGTTTAAATAGTACGATGAAAATATTTTTAGAGAGATACGTTTAATATAATTAAATGTACTAGTGAACTTCTAAACCATGGAATGGTCAACCTTCTAATGCGATCAAGTTTTAATTTTTTAAATTCCCTAAGATCGAATATATTTTAATTGAATGAAATATTGAAAACATAATAATTATTTTATTACATACATATGTATGTATGTATATTATTTGTGTGCGCGTTATCTTCAACATATATTCTAGAGCCGATATTAATCTAGCGACTATAACATTTATACGAGACGTGTAAGAATAGCTGCTTTAACTGATTATTGGTAAAAAGCGGTTACGATATACTGGAAAAAAATCTGTAAATTTTTTATATTATTAAATCTATATTCAAAATTTATGGTAAATTAATAAGTATCATTCGGAATCAACTTAAACATGTAAGTCAATTTCGGCTAATATAATTCCGGCCGGTTCTTAACTATGTTTAAAGAGCAAATGTTTTGTTTGTTTTTTTTTTTTTTTAATTTAAATTAATTTTTTGTTTGCCATATTGAAAAAGGATTAAAAAAAAAAATTCTCTTCCTTATTTAATATTCATTAATTCCCGGAAGCACACCCATCTCATCTGATGACATTTAATATATAAAATAGGTCGTATCCTACTAAGAATTTCTTAAACAAATACTTTTGCAATTTATTATACAGGATGGCAAGTTATTTAACTACAATAGCAAAAAAATTCAAATGACACTAAAATTTTAAATATGTACATACATATATGTAGGTATACGGCAGTAAAATTCTTGTTATATCATAATATAATATAATAATTAATAACTTAATCCTGTTCTTTTAATTTCGATATGCTTTTAAAATACAAATCACATGGGGCAATTAAATTAGAAGAAAATTTTTTTAATTAATTTAGAAAATAAAATAACAAAATACCGTTGAACTTTAGTATATACATTAATATATGTATGTATGTATTTATTTATTCCATTTTATTATTGTATAATCTGTTTTTTTTCTAAATCGATTAGAACTAACCTACGATAACTTTATTTACATAGTAGATATTTTCAAACTTCATTTACATAAATAAATAACCAATTCTTCATATACATACCTCAATTTTTTGTATATTAAATTTTTGCTAAAAATACTCTATATATGTACGTCCATAGTACATACATGTTTACACCAGTTTGTATAGTATACTTATACCTACTATTCAAAAATATGAAAGCTTTTAAGAATGTATAACATACTATTGTTGTTTAAAAATGTTATTTTTGTTTTATTTAAATTAACAGTTTTAAAAAAAAATTTCTCACATTATAGACTTTGACATTATATACACTATAAAATTTTCCTCTCTCATTTATTTTATTAGTCTATACCTACATACATATTATATTCCTTGATTTTAAAATTACATTTAGGTAAACGGTCCTAATACAGAATTTTAAGTTATGATGAGTTGCATTTGCTGACTGCCATTAATTAACTTACACTACTTAGTACAAAATTTCACTACATACTTAGTATTTTATACAATTCACTACTAATTAATAGTATATCCTATACTTGCATCATTTAATAACAAAAAGTGAAAGTGAGATAATTTTTTTTCATATAAAGTTTTTCAAATAACTGTGATGGTGACTATTTTGTCTAAAATATTATAGCATTTAGTTGTTATCTGTTAAATTTTGTTGGTGAATTTTTTTCTATAAATAATTTTCACTTATTAATAAATTTATATAAGTTATTATTACAGATTCACTTTAATTATAATTCACTTTCAATTATAATAAGATTTTAAAAACACATTTTAAATCATTAAATTTTATTATTGTAAAATAAGCTTATTTAATTAGACCACTTCCATTTTTGATATTTCAGATTTTTTACATTGACAATAATAGTACGAAACAATTGTTAAAGTATGAGTTATTGTAGTATAATAGTATATCGTATTTATTATGCTTTGTGCATATTAAATACGATATACTATTTGCATATATACATATATATATTAATTATACATAAATAATATTTTACATTTAACGAACACTATATATGTATGTATATAATAATATAAAATATATAGTATAACACCAACATATACTTACATACATACTCGGATATACATATTCTTTTGTTGATACATTATTCTTCTTCTTATATTCTACAATTTCATACGGTTTTCTCACTTTCTTCAATTCTCATAATATATCTACATACATATTTTTTCATAATATATTTTTTATATGTTTATATGCACACATAATCCAAATGTATATTACTATTATATTTACAACAAAATTTACAAATAAAATCACCAAAATAGAGTTGTTTTTATTTTAAATGAACCAAATGAAAATAAAACACAAGCACTTAATAAACTAAAACATGTGAAAATTCCAAAGAAAATCAAGCAGGTGTGTTATAAAAATTTGTAATATTATATTTTACGTCAAGAAAAAAAAGTAAAAAGAAAAACGGAATACAATGCCATTACAATCTGCAAAATACAAACAAACGTTTTATAAGATACATATATATGTATATTAAAAAGATAATTTTAATGTGTGCAACATAATATTTATGTGTTTGTAAATAATTTTTGCAACGAAAATAGGGGAAACAAAATGAACATGAAACATGATATTAATCGGAAATAAGACAATGATGTTTTTGCTAGACATTTAGAATCAACAACTCAACGGTGTACAGATTCTTGCGAAATTTGTTTATGTTTTTGTATTTTATTTTGTTCCATTCCCTTAAATTATTTCATTTATAGTGCATTTTCAGAAAAAAAAAGAATTTTAGAAACGTACTTGTTATTTTGCTCTGTCCCTTCATATAAATTATTGCAAATTTTTCATTTCAAGATTTCTCTTAAATTTATGCAAAATTGTATGATAATAAGAGAATTATTTTAATATGTAGATCATTTTTATTATTTACGCCTAAAATTATGCTTACATAATACATAATATAATATCTAGACCTAAATTATTAAACAGTGATATATTATTAACCAATGGTCTGGTACATTTTTCAAATCACATTTCTACTTTACATAATATATATGTAGGCAATGCATATTTTTGTTTTATTTATACTCGTAAGTGTTCACAATAATGTGAACAAACATACTAAATATGCAATCATGCATTGTTTTTTTTTTGTATTTTGGTCTTGTGGCTCTTATATTGAATAAAAATCAGCATGCATAAATACGTCTATAAATGTATATCTAGTTTTTACTCTACAATTTTACATACATATTTACAGAAATTCAATTAAACACAACACATATCAATGCGTGATACCACATATACATACATACATGAAATTTATAATTTAACAACCGAATACGGTTATGATTTTATGTATATGGTAGTAACAGAAATATAACAAAAAAAATTATTGTTAATTTTAAAGCAGAAATAAAGAAATTTTATGAAACGAGGAACAAGATGAAAAATTTTTTTAAATAGAAACGAAATGAATTGAATTTGAACCGAACCAAATCGTACAGTTAAATTGTTAATAAAAATTTAGTTTGTTATAAGACATCTAAATTGAAAGGTTTAAGAACTACGCAAAATTTAATTATTTTATAAAATCAACGTGAAAATTCTTAGGAAATTTGATTGAATCATCATTTTCATTTTGTGATTATTATATTTTTTTTCTATATTATATTATATTGTTCACAATTTTTACATTGAATAATTCAGATAAAAGAAAATTTATTAAAATAAATTCGTAGATATACTTATGTATATTATTTATATATACACTTAATATACAGTAGATATACTTAAGTATGTTTATAAATATTTTCGGATATTATTAACTCATTTTTGATCAATTATTATTATCTTAATTAATAATAAAGAAGTTTTGCTGTTGTTGAAACTTTTTCTAAATAACATTGGTAGTTTTTATAAATAATAATTAAAAGAATAATTATTATAAAATTAATTTACATTAAAATTAGACAAAAAATATATATGTATGTATGTATATAAATATTATAAATTAAATATAAATTTCTGCAAAAATTTATAAATATTTATAAATTATTAAAAATCATTGAATTTAAATGAATAATAAACCTTTGTTCTTGGAATAAAATAAAATTTGTTTTATTTTCTTTACCGTACTTATTAAATAAATAACACGTTTTTGCTGGAGTGGTTTACAATCAAAAAATTTTTATTAAAAATTTATTAAAAAAAAAAAAAATGCTATCAAATCAAAGAAAATTAAATTCAAATAAATTTTCAAGTACAAGTGATAAAATAATATTATTAAAAAATTATAAATTAAAAAATTCAAAAAATAATAAAATGAATAATATAATAATAAATAATAACGATAATAATATTAATTTTAAATCAAAAAAAAATAATAATTTTAATAAAAATAATAGTATAAAATTAATAAAAAATTCAAAAATAAATTTATATAACATGAAATTATTAATATTTATTGGATTTTATATAACAATAATGCATAATTATCAATATGTTGAATCAATTGATTTTTGTTCATTACATCAATATAGTAATTTAAAAAATTCTGATTATATGCAATTTACCAAAGAAGTTATTAGCCGTGAATATGCATTATTAGATAATATCAAAGGATTACATTGCTGTGCAAAAGGATATAGAAGTATTGAATGGTATGTTATTTACTTATATAATTATTAATATATTAATATATAATTTTTAATTAAGACAATCATTTAAATTTTATTGTTATACATATTTTGTTATATTTAATAGAAAAATAGAATTTAAATTGAATTTCTTAAATTTTCGTAACTATTTGAATATAATGAGCATTCAAAATTGTGCTCAAAATTAAAAAGACATAATTGTTTTATATAAATAGTCCGAATTTATAATAATTGTATTAGATAATACAAATTTGTCCGAAAATCAAAAGCAAATTGGAAAGAGAAAATCTTTATAATTAAGTATGTACTTACATATCATACGTATACATGTGTTCTATACATTAATAATGTGTCTTAAAAAAATTAAACCGAGTAATAAGTAATAAAAAAAAAAATTATTATGTTTATTGTTAAAATTGAGTACACGTCTATTATAAGTAATTTAATTTTATCATAATTCAGAACTTTAAAACCATAACAATCGACATTAAACCTCACAGAATCTATATTTTCAAAATAATTGTCGAACAAAAGCTGTTAAGAATTCAGAGATTTTTTCAATAATATGTTGCACGATCATATAACGTACATTCTTTTGGTTAAAAAATATTTTATCGTAATTTAGTTATAACGTTTTTACGATTACTTTAAGTTTCAGTGAGCGAATTCTGCACCATAAATCTGCGTACAGTAAAAAAATGTGCATCTGTGCCAAATTTTAAATCTCTGATATTTTACGTTATTCAATGAGTACTTTATAATAACAGATGAACTGATATATAATTAGATCAACTTAGAATTTGGTATAAAATATATATACACATATTATGTATATTCTTGAGCAAGAAATTTTATGACAGTTATGAGGTTGCAAATTTCTATTTCTTGATAACGCGTTACGGATTACATACGGCGCTACGCATCTTAATACATTATGTACATCGTGATAAAGTGAAAACATATAAGTATAATACATAAGCAGGCACATATAAAAATAAAATTACATTGACAAAAAAAAAATTATAAAAACCAAACCAAATTCCAATATTTCATTTTTTCAAATTACAATGATTTTTTAATAAAAAAAACCATTCCAATTTTATATTGGTTTTGTTAATGGAAATTTTATTTTAAAATTAAACGCAACTTTTACTCAATTAAGATTAAAATTTTTTTAATTAGGAACTTGAACTAAAATTACTTAACCAAATAAAATTGAATATAATTTAAGTATAACACTTTGAACGTTTAGTTTAAAGTGAGATTTTATTTTTTTTTTTTGAAATAATCTTTGGACATAAGAAGTTTTGATCTCATTAGTATATACCTTAATATACTAGATATAAAATAAATCAAAAACAAGTAAGTAATATACTTAGTAATATACATACTTATATACGTATATATATTTAATATTCAATTAAATATGAACTTCTTGAATTTCTCTCAATGAAAAATGAAATATTCATATATTTTAGTATATATTAGAATATTTTTTATTTTTTTTATTAACTTAATAAAAAAGTGCTGTCATTTATTATATAATTAGCTTCTATTTTATAACTTATACCACATTATGATGGTATTATTATTAATAGAATTCATAAATCTTTTATGTCATTAATTAGTGGAAAACTTATTAACAATATTCCATTGAAATATGGTATAAATAATTAAAAAGAAATTTATTTTATAATTAGGTTCTCTAAAACAATAAGAAACTCTAAGAAATTTTTTAACAATTTTGATTTTTAATAATTTTTTTATAAAATTAAGAATTTTTATTATAAATTTTTTTTATGCATGTACATACCAAATTATAACAGATGATTGAAAATAATAAATGAGATAAACCATTCTCTTTTGTAATTCAATCCCTATTAACATTAATACAATGTATACAATGTATACAATGCATATTGCTTGTATAATATTATATAAATAGTATATATATATACACCCATGTGATACTAGCTTTATAATAAATAAATTATGTGATCTATTCGGTTTAGTTAATGTCAACAGGAATTAAATTATGGTTGAGCTTAAGGAGATATATGTATACATACATATATAAGAAATCTACTTTACATGTTTAGAATTTATAACAATAATTAAATATGTGTTTATCTGCGACATATCATGAATCATAAGTATTATAAGATTTCTTCTTTTGAATTTATAAAATCAAAAAAAAAAAAAAGTATACCAAACAAAAATCAACCGCACTATTAAGATTTATTTTTGAAGAAAGTCCAATATTTATGTATTATGTATGAACATAATAATATGTAAATATGTACTTATATATATAAGCATGCCAAAGAATAGTTACTTACTTATTTTATTAGCCTTGAATATTTTTCATATTATTCTATATGAAATCATATCTTACTTAAAAAATTTTTTGAAATTTTGAATTACATCAAAATTCTTATTGCATTAAAATTGGTAAGTACTTAAATTGAAAAAAAAAAATTTTGCAAAATATTTATGACTCATATGAAATAGCAATATTTTCCGAAATTTATTTTAAATTTTTGAAAAAAAGCACGTTCCAGTATTTTTTTTTTAATTTAAAAAGATTACTGTCATTTAGTTTAAAGGACTTGTTCTTTTTACACTTTTTCTCTCAGAAAAATTACAAACAAAGCGCTTATAAGTTTCATTTTGTCCGTCTGACCGTTCGTCCATCTGTCCGTCTGATCTTTCTTATTTATATATAAAATAATTCCCCACCCCCCCCCCCCCTTCTCTCTCACTCGCAAATAACACACAAAAAGCTATTTAAATTCCTGAAAATGAAAATTTTTTTGACTACATAGTCAAGAAAGTTCATTGTTGTTGTAAAGAAACCACAAACACTGTAAAATTTTGCAAACGCAAAAGGGTAGCGGCAGATGTGTCCTACCATGTCGCAGCAGAATTGAATACTAAAACGACATAATGACTGTTTAAATTAATAATTACAAATTTTTTTTTTAATTTTTGTATATCGTTTTTTTTTGTGGACGGGAAATTACATGAGTCTAAAACTTTAGCAGGTCTTCGACAATAATAAATAATTTATTTCATTATCAGAAAATCCTTGTTCCAATTTCAACAACCCTACTCGCTCTGAAGTTGTCGTCTTGAAATTCTTAAAATTGGAATTTTCAGCGCCTTATATTTCCGTAATAATCAACTTTTCCAAATTTTATAGAAAACCGAAAAGATAACCGTAAACTCTATGCTATCAAAAAGTATAAATATTTTTTTCTTAAATCCTTACTTAACTGTTGAATTCCATAATGGTCGAATTCCATAATGGTTAAAGTTGCGTTCAATTTTTTTTTCTTTTCCTCATCCTAAATGTATGCAATAAATCAATATATTTTGGTATATGAATAAAAGTAATTTAAATTATGTTATGTATTATGAAAACTGACTGCTTTTAATCAGTATTGTAATTTATTCATGCCAAAAGTGCTTCTTCACAAATCATTGATTTGATCCAACTTTATTTAAAATAAAAAGTTTTCAAAGGTAAATTTAAGAAAATAAAAATTCAAAAGGTTCTTAATATATTATTAAATTTTTTAAAGGATAAACAAGAAAAAAAAACAATTAAATATTCTTTAGAGTAAATTTAATAAATTTTGTTTTTTTTTGTACATAAGTAAATACACTTACATCTTTAAACAATGTGTTATTAATTATATTTGCAAATTTTATTTACATACTGACATGTAAGAAAGAAATAACTTACACACATATTCATATATCAAATAAAAAAAAGAACAAAATAAATAAAAATATTGAGACGAAATAGACATACTTACGAAATTCTTACATAATAAATTTATAAAAATAAAAACCAAAAAAAAAAATTATATTTACTTAATATTAAAGGAATAAAAATATTTTAAATTTTCAAGGACTTTAAGGAATCCTTACAAAAAAATTCCCACAAGAAATTTTATTTTTCTTTTTTTCTGTTTTTCATAAAAATGTTACATAAAGAAAAGAAAAAATAATATTTCTTCTTATTCGTGTTAAGGATAATCTTTTTTTTTGGAGGTCACCGATTTAAAATATGCTTTGAGTACTTAAATATTTTCAACACTTTTAAATTTAAAAAAATTGTTGAAATTTTTATTTTTCATATAAGTATTTCAAATAAATTAAAATTTTCAACAACAAACTGTGCAACAACACACAAAAATAAATTGCAGGTTAAGCAAAATAAAATATTGAAGTTAATGCTTAATTTACCATACTATTACCCAACAAGAGTTTTGCACATTAAAGCAGGTATAAATAAAATTGATAGGCAAATCGAAAATATTTATAGCTCGTTCGTTAAAAATATTGTTTTTTCTGATAACCTACTAATTAGGGATTTAAATCACTAATTATTTTTTAAGGCTTATTAATATAGTTTAAGAAACAGGTACTAACTCTAGCATAATTATAGAATTTAAGTTTTTAAATAAAATTTTTTTGTAGAAGGTTTTTTGAATACTCCGTTTTCCTTACTGTAGCATATTATTGTAAATTCATAAAGAAAAAATTAAAATAATATAGAATATTTCAGCTGTAAAGATAACGTATATCTATATCTCTGTATATACTTATATTTAATTATTGTATTATTTTGAAATATTTTTGGAGCAATAAATGAAATGAAATGAAAAAAGTAAGACAAAAATTATTTTTTAAAAAATTTTAAACTGTTATACTGTATTCCTATTACACTGCCCTGGTTAGCATTGTTCTTTAACTTTTGTAACAACATAATATAAGTATATAATATATATATAAGTACTTATATATTCATCACCATTAATTTTTACTGACCATCATTTTTTTCGGTAACATGCAAAATTTTTCAATCCGTTAATAATATTTTGAAAGTTATATCAATTTAAGTCGATACACTAAAAATTTTGTCGAAACCAAAAAATTTTCAACTGAGATTTTGAAATTTAATTATTCATTTACTGTTCCTCCGCCGGAACGAT